AAGGTTAGCAAGGGTGAAGAAGCCAACATATCCAGCAGACATTCTGATGATGAACTTGTGCTATTGATGGCATCTGAGAATGTAGGTGGAACAATGGTAGACTGGTGGTATATGAACACTTGTTGCTCAAATCACCTAACTGGAAGCATGCAATGGCTGGTTGATTTTGACTCAGGTAGAAAGAGTAATATTAGATGTGTTGATGATAAGTATCTGAATGTTGAGGGAATGGGAAAATGTCAAAGTGAAATTGAATAATGGAAAAATTGTACAAGTTAAGGATGTATGGTATATTCTTGGCATTAATAGCAATCTGATGAGTGTAGGCCAGTTGATTGAAAAATATTCAGTAACCATGAAGGACAATCTTTTAAAGTTGTATGATTGTAATTAGAAGCTGATTATGCAGTACGAGCTGGGAAGAAACACGATATTCAAGGTGAATGTTGCACTATCACACACTTAATGCCTTAGTGCTAGAAGTGCTGAAGGGGAAAGTGAGTTATGGCACAAGAGATTGGGACATCTGAACTTTAGAAGCTTAAGGAATCTGAGTTCAAAGAATTTGGTACATGATATTCCAAAAATTGTTCCACTAGATAAACCATGTTATATGCATAAGAAACAAGCAATCAAGATTTCCATTCTCATAAAAAATGCCTCCAAGAGCAACTCATGCTTCGGGTGTGGTGCATTCTGATGTATATGGGTCATTTGAGGTACCTTCACTTGGAGGAAATAAGAACTTTGTGTCATTTTTAGATGAGTTCACAAGAACGACACGAGTAGCACTCATAAAGTTCAAACATGAGGTGTTTGATAAGTTCAAGAAGTTCAAAGTGATGGCTGAAAATCAAAGTTAACAAAGGTTGAAGATCCTCAGAACTAATGGTGGATGTGATTTCAATTCAATAGAGTTCAAGAAGTTCTATATGGAACATGGTATTGAGCATGAGGTGAGTGCTTCATACACTCTATAGTATAATGGTCTTGCTAAAAAAATAAATAGAACTCTACTTGACATGACAATAAGCATGTTGAAGGAGAAGAATATACCTCATACATTGTGAGGTGAAACAATTGTCATGTCAATATATGTGCTTAATAGATATCCAAAAAATTAGTTAAAGGAAGTAGTTCCTATTGAGGAGTGGACTAGAAGAAAGAAAAGCGTTATCCATTTCAAGGTATTTGGTTTTGCATGTTACAAACATATACCAGATACTACTAGAAGGAAAATGGATAACAGAAGCAGAGTCATGTTGCTTATAGGCTACCACTGTACAGATGCATATAAGCAATATTGCCCAGTCACTAACAAAGTTGAATTCAATAAAGATGTCATAGTGAAAGAATCAGAAATATGAAATTAGAGCAAGTCTTAATCAAACTCTAGTGTAGTGTCAACACTAGAGTCTGATTCTACCTCTGAAAGAGATTATGCCTCTAAAGGAGATTTTGACTCTAAAGGTGAGTCTGATTCTGAAGGTGAGTCTGACTCTGAAGATGAATCTGACTCTAAAGGTGACTTTGACTCTGATGGTTGACTTGACTCTGAAGGTGATCCAACCTCTAAAGGTGATCCTGCCTCTGAAGGTAGAGCTTCTAAAGGTGGAGCCTCTGAAGGTGGAGCTTTCTGAAGGTGGTCCTTCCTCTGAAGGTGAACTTGCATTGTTCCAAAGGCCACTTAAAATTAGAAAAATACCAATGAGACTTGCAGACTTTGATTTGTTGCATGATATTGAAATTGACTCCAAAGGGGAAGTCATACAGCGTGCCATGATGGTGGACTCTGAACCTGTCAGCATTAATGAGGAAGTCAAGAAGAAGGTGTGGGTGAACTCCAAGAAGGAGGAACTTGAGGCATTAAAAAGAAACAAGACATGGGAATTGATTATTTTACATCAGAAGAAGAAATCCATCACTGTGAGATGGGTTTTTAAGATAAAGAAGAAGTCAAATTGGTCAGTTTCCAAGCATAAAGCAAGGTTAGTAGCCATAGGATTCCTACAAAAGTTTGGCTTAGACTTCTTTGAAGTAATTTCACATGTAGCTAGACATGAAACCATGAGATTGGGCATTGCTATAGTTCTAAATAAAAATTAGCCTCTAATACATTTATATGTAAAGTCATATTTTCTAAATGGTCTATTGCAAGAAGAATTGTATGTGTTATAACCTCCTGGATTTGTGATAGAGAATAAAGAAGGTATGGTATACAAGCTGCATAAAGCCTTCTATGGGTTGAAATAAGCTCCAAGGGCTTGGAATCTGGAAATTGATTCATTTTTCAAGCATCAGGGTTTCAAAAAATGTGAAATGGAGTATGAAGTGTATGTGCAACATACTTCTGATGGCAATGTGATTCTAGTGTGTCTTTATATATATGACATACTTCTGACAGGGAGTTGTACCTATGAGATAAAGAAGTTCAAAAAGATGCTGGTGAATGCATTTGATATGACTAAACTTGGAAACATGGTAAATTTTCTAGGGATACATATTTTACACTTTGATAAGGGAATCATTGTGGACCAGCTGAAGTATGGATTTGAATTGTCAAATAGATTTAAGGTAATGAATTATAAGTCAGCAGTCACACCTGTTGAGACAAATCATAAGTTGGATTCTGATGTTGATGGTGAGGATGTAGATGCTACAACCTTCAAACAGTTGGTTGATTCTCTAAGATATCTGTGTAACACCAGACTTGACATATGTTATGCAGTTAGAATAGTAAGTATGTTTGTGAGTAAGCCAAAGTGGTCACATTACCAAGTTACACTCAAGATACAAAGGTATGTAAAAGAGACTATGAGGTATGGAATTATGTTTCCATATGGAGCATCAGATGATGATAAGCTGATATATTATTCAAACTCTGACTAATGTCAGGACTGAGTAGACAGAAGAAGCACTAGTGAATACATGTTTATGTATTTATGGGATCCTATTTAATGGTGATCCAAGAAGCAACTAGTGGTTGTGCTTTCAACTTGTGAAGCAGAATACATAACTGGTGCGTTGTCAGCATGTCAAGCTGTTTGATTGATGAATTTGATGCAGGAACTGAAGTTCAAGGTGAACAAACCAGTCAAGTTGATGATAGACAATAAGTCAGCCATAACTCTTGCCAAAAATCTAGTGTTGTATGAAAAAAGCACTACAACACTCATAAGCAACTTGCAGATGTGATGCCTAAGACTGTCAAAACTAAGCACTCCATCAATTTGAGGGATATAATTGGTATTGTTGATTTTTAATCTTAAATATCAATTAAGGGATGATGTTAAATCTAATTCTAATTCAAGTTGTTACTTTACATTTCGTTTAACATTTGAGTTTGCATTTGCTTTGTATTTGAATTTAGGTTAATGTATATAAACTCAAAGTTAGTTACATTTGTAACAGAATTGAGTTTTGAGATTTGAGAAATAAAAGTTAGTTACAAAATTCTCTCTCTCTCTCTCTCTGCACAAATTCTTTCATCTTCTTCTTCCTCTTGTGCAATAATGGAGGTTCAGTGTTAATTCCAACAAGATTTTGTGTACAATAATGGAAGTTCAGTGTTAATTCCAATAAAATTTTGTCTATCATTGCGTTATATTCCTAGTTTCCTGATTGTGGTATTAAGGTTGTCTTCATTGCAATATCTAACACTTCAAAAGATTGAATTTAGTCTCATGTCGCATATAAATATGATAGATATGACAATTGTACTGTGTTTAAAGTTTGAAGAATCATCACTTTACAAATCAGTTTGATAAGGTTGAGTTATGTCCAATTCATAATTTTAAAATACTCTGAGAGTCTAATTCATGATTATTAGGCATGAAAAAGTGTTTCACATAGGACAATTTGGAACTTATGTTTATAAGGTTTGGGTATTTGGCTAGAGATTTGTCATGGCTAGCAATACATAATACATATGTATCATTTTTGCTAGGAAGAATTAATAATCATTAAACAAAATATGTAGTTAAATTTTCATTGAATGAAGTGTTACATATTTTACTAAATTCTTTCATCTTCTTCTTCCTCTTGTGCAATAATGGAGGTTCAGTGTTAATTCCAACAAGATTTTGTGTACAATAATGGAAGTTCAGTGTTAATTCCAATAAAATTTTGTCTATCATTGCGTTATATTCCTAGTTTCCTGATTGTGGTATTAAGGTTGTCTTCATTGCAATATCTAACACTTCAAAAGATTGAATTTAGTCTCATGTCGCATATAAATATGATAGATATGACAATTGTACTGTGTTTAAAGTTTGAAGAATCATCACTTTACAAATCAGTTTGATAAGGTTGAGTTATGTCCAATTCATAATTTTAAAATACTCTGAGAGTCTAATTCATGATTATTAGGCATGAAAAAGTGTTTCACATAGGACAATTTGGAACTTATGTTTATAAGGTTTGGGTATTTGGCTAGAGATTTGTCATGGCTAGCAATACATAATACATATGTATCATTTTTGCTAGGAAGAATTAATAATCATTAAACAAAATATGTAGTTAAATTTTCATTGAATGAAGTGTTAACAATTTTGATCATGCTAGACAAAACTTCATTTCCATTATCAAAAAAGTAAACTTATAATCCACAAATGATAATCACATCACATAGTACAAAAAGTTGGGTGAAAATAAGCCGTGACCATTATATCATCATAGAGGTTATACAAATAACCAAGTATTCATATCACCCCTCTTGGTACATTAGCACAAACCCATTGCTTAAAAAAGCAAAGCAATCTATTTGTCACCTAATGGATTTCAACAAGTTTTGCAATTCCCACAAATACATTTAAAAATTAAACCTCTCATTATAAGATGAGAAAAGTCCTTCTCTTAACAAAAAAAAGATATATTTATGGAAAATTGCAAACTTCAATAAGAGATCTAAAAGTCTATTATTCATATAATTATTTATATATATACTATCATATGATTTGCCTCAATTCATTGGATCCTACTAACTCTTCTCCTCGAGGAAATTACACTATTAACAAGTCAGATTTGGCATCTCCAATGCAATTCATAGGACGAAGATTTTCACGAACAAGTTTTTGACCCAAAAGACGGTTTACTAATCTGTCCAAAGCCTCTTTCATCCACCAGTGTTGACAAACCTCTCTAGCCTCAGTTATACTCATCTACACAAAATCCAAAATTGAATCTTTCAAACTCATTTTCTACATTAAATAACAACAATTGCCCCATAATTGTTTTTTTTTATCGTACTTACCCATGTTCTTTGACGAAGATTTTGTTCCGGCCAAAACTCCATTTGTTCTTTAACAAGTAAAGGAAACATGTAACCATCGTATAAAGTGTCGTATGTTTTACTCTTGAAACTCCATTTACCTAATTTACCTTCAACAATGCCTTTTACACCGGCTTCCTCCATGGTTTCTCTCTTAGCTGCTTCCTTCTGAGATTCATCTAATTCCCAACCTCCCTGATGAATTATAAATAACAAAAATATAAGAAAATAAATCAAAATGTTCGGTTAATCAGCTCAATTGATAGTTGTGTAGAGACATCATGCACACAGATACATCTGATGCAAGAACACATATTTGTAACAGGCGGTACCTTTGGAAATAGCATCCCTTTGCCTTTTTGAGAACTTATGACAAGCACTTCCAATTCATCCAAAATATCCAAAGATTTTTTCTCACCAATCTTGAATCTATAAGGTATACATCTGCATAAACACAAAGTTAGCTATTATTCAGAAAAAAGAGTATTAGTTGCGGAAATTATTGAGGAAATAGAAAGGGGTGAGGTTGTGAAGAGACGAACCCAACAACTTGACGGCGACCTTTTCTATAACGCTGCAACTCTCGACCGGTACGAGAAACCAATGTGACGACATTTTCTTGAGAAACCAAAGCAACCATTTCTAATAATTGTTGTTTTGGTTTTTTAGTTTTGTGAGGAATAATGAAACAGAGAGTTGAAGGAACAGAGACAAGAAAAAGAAGGAATGAGAGTTTTGTTGAGTGGATAGCATAACGGGAAGCGGGGAAGGACCCCTTTTAATATTGGTAGGGGGTAGAGAGAGAAAGAGAAAAGGATGTACTTTTTAGGAGAGAGAGAGAGAGAAACTTCATTTTCTTTTATATTATTCATTTCTCATTTTTTTTAAAATTATTTTTCATTCTCATATTTATATAGTTACGACTAATCATTTTATAAAATCATATGATAAAAAAAAAAACTTTTTGGATACGGTCTTTTCGATACAAATTTATAATTTATTTTATTAATTTATAATTTACTTTTCATATATTATTTTAAATAACATTTTAAATTATGGTTATAATTTTTTTTCACTTTTATTTTTATTATTTTAATAAGAATTTATTACTATCCTTTAAATTTATTTTAAAAATTAAAAATTAAAAATTAAAAATTAAATATATTTTATATTATTTTAATTTATTAAATAATTAAACTATTAACTTTATCAAATACTTTAATTTATATATTAACTATAGATTATCACCCATCAATTACAAAATAATTATCAATCATAAGTTTTGACCGAACAATTCATATCTAATTTCAATTCTTGGATTCAAGTTATTTACTTATAGATTTTTTTAATCAAATAATTAAAATTAACCTTTAAAAATGAACCAGTAGAATTGTAAATTTGAATATATGTTTCTGCCTTTAGCCTCTCAAATAAGTTGATTTAACAAAATATTTATTTATAAATTAAAGTTGGAGAAAAAGGAAAACCCAAAAAAAGGGGATGGGGTGTTGTGACGATGAGACCCACTTGGAAAGAGAAATGCTTAGACCCTACATACACGTGTGAATGACGTGTCATGTAGCTTCATATGTGGCTATCAATATCTGCTCTTAGCTGAATGACATTAAAGATATATTTGAAAAAGCTTGTTTTAGTTTTTCTAATTATATAAGACTTGCATAGGTATTTAAAGTGAGTTAAGACTTTTTTTTTTTTTTTATCAAACTAACCTATTTTGAAACAAATAATACCAAAATATTTTTATTTTAAAAAAAAATAACAAAAATGTCATAGATTTAGAGCCTGCTTGTCTACTAAAGTGGCGAACAGATGAAAGCAATTGTGATTAAGTTGATGTTCGTCCACTGAAATAGCGAACACGTAAAGGATGCTTTTTATTTTTTATTTTTTTTATTTATATTATTTTTAGTTAATTAAAATAATGTTTTTAAATATTAAAGATGTATTATATTAATTTAATTATGATATTAATGTTAACTATTTGTTATAAAGAGTGTTTAATGGTATATTTAATTTAATTATAAATATTTTTTTAGAGTTTTTATATATTATATATTATATTAATTTAATTATATTATGTTATATTAAATGGAAAAAATGTGAATGATATAATAATTCAATTTTTCTTTCTGTCATGTATTAAAAAAGAATGACTGATGTTCGTCCATGGAGGTGTAAAGTTTTTACAGAGTCTCGGTCTTTGAATGACCGAGTTCAAACATAATTTTTTATTTATAAATAGACGTATTGCGCATCGGCACATATCATTCGTGTCTAGTGATCCGTGTTTTAAAAATGTCTGTCTGAGCTCTTGTTTTTTATGGACAAGAAAAAAAATCAGTGTTTACCTAGATCCGCAGCGGAATTTCAGAACTGTGGTTGCAGCAATTAACACGGAATTTCGGCAGTTGGGCGGTCGTCGTATGACGGTGAGAAAAATGGAGTATCGTTGTCCTTATATAACGATGACTGATGCTAGCTCGGAGGGTACGTATATGTATTACTTGGATCGTATAGAAAATGATGAAGATGTCCAATGCATGTTTTCAACACATAGTGGCGAAGTTAACAGAGGAGTCGCATATCCACTTGTGTCGGTTTTTGAATTGAGCTTCCTATGGTCTTGTGCCATTGACGTGGTAGTGCATGTGTGAGGCCCAGACAGCTTACCGATCACCCATTTTGAGTTCCTTTTTCTCAAGGAAGCTCTGTACTTGAAATTGCAGTCTTGTTTCTTACACTTAATTACATATCGTTCATTGTAAGATTGATAAACCCAATGGTCAACATTGTGTGTTATGTGCCAATGTTGCAGAGCGAAGACGCAAGCTTCCTTGTTTTCAAACTCCATCCCAATCTCTATTTCTTCACCTATATGGTTTGGTATGACACTTCCAAACACGGAGGTTGTCTCATCATTGTTGCACCCCAAAATTTGACCAATCGGCTTTTGCAACTGGCTTTTGTTTCTGTGCATTTTGCATTTCTGCATATCATGGCATTCGTTCTTGAGACAGGGGATCAAGGTTTTCCCGTGGCTCAATTTTCATTCCAGTGCAAGCAACTGAACAACAAGCAACATTAGTTGGCATTTATTTTGCCCGATAGAGCGGTCGATTTTATTTTATTGTGCAGGTTAATTTCCAGCGTTCAGGCTACTTCAAGCAGTTTCACAGTCAGGATGATCGAAAACAAGTTCCAGAGGATTAACAGATATCCAAACAGTTGAAAACGGGCAAGTGGGCACGTTTCCCTCCAAAAGGCGCCAATTTCAAAATTTTGAAGGTGTTAATCGGTTAACACATAACGTTAATCGATTAACACAATCAAAATCAGGATAATTTTGCAAGTTTTCACAGTGTTAACCGGTTAACCATATGCGTTAACCGATTAACCTGTGTATTTTTTGCCCTGTACGTGAATTTTCAAGTCCAGCCACTCTTGGAGTCCCATTTTGATCATTTGAATTTCATTTTTACACTTGGGAAGGATCTAGAACCCCATTTGAAATTTGTTTAATTTCAATTTCCCACCAAATGCCCATTCCACATTCCATACCACATTTTCCAATCCAAATTCCCAAACCTAGCTTTGGATCCAAACCAAGAGAGTACTTAAGTGATTTACTCCAAACCAAAGGATCTAATCTCTCATAATTCAATTCATTTTTCAGAATTCACTCCAATTCTCTCTCAATTCTCTCAAAATTCTCCATTCCTAAACCCTCACTCAAACCTCTTCATCATTTGGATTCATTGATTTTTCATTGAAATCAATGGATTCTTGAGCATAAACCTCCATTTAACATCATCATTGGATCAGTTTTCATAATCAATTTTTGTGCAAATTGAGATCTAATTTTGGAGCTTGAGTTGGAAGTGCTTATTTGGAGTAATTTGGCTTAAAATTGCTTGATCTCCATTCCTCTTGCAAGAACTATTGTGGATCTTGAATTTTTCCGGATAATCTTGTTTGGATCTGCTCAAATTCAGTTGATCAACACTTACCGAAGCAAATCTTCGCTTCGAAGGTTGGAATTCTCGATCCGATTTAATTTTTGAGCTTATCATGTTAATCTTCATATTCGATTGAATTTTGGTTGATTTCGATCCGTTCGAATTGTGATTGTGTTGTGTGGACATGTTTGCATGTCTATTGGTTTTCTGTTTGCAGGTGTAATTTCGTGCTTATTTGATAAGCTGATCTTTTGGATCATTTGATTAAGTGATTTTGTGCTGAAAGTGCTTTTTCTGCTGCTGTTTTTGGCCTCTGTTACAGTGTTAATCGGTTAACGCATATGGTTAACCGATTAACCTGTTCAAAGATCCATATTTTCCAAACTTTTTAAGGTGTTAACCGATTAACCCCAGGGGTTAACCGATTAACACTGTAACAATGGGCCTGTTTTGCTGTTTTACAAGGTGTTTTCGCATGCCGTTCCACTTCGAATCATCATAGAGCAGTGTGATGTATTAGGAGTGTAGTGTTTGGTATATAGGTCGCTGTTCTTGATCATTTGATCATGATTTTGTCGACTCGTTTTGTTTGTCTTCCACTTGAATGCGTATTTCCGATATGCGCTGTTCAATGTGATGCTTCTTTTTTTGTTTGACTATTTGAGCCAATTGGTCGAGATGTGCCTGTGGCGGCTGCTGCCCCACACTTCTTTTCCTCCCATTTGTCTTCGATGATCGATAGCCGACGGTTGTAGAGGCTTGTCTTCTCTCGTTATATCTCATTCGCTCATTTTGTTTCGGTGTTTGTTTGTTTGTTTGCTTGCCTTCTTTATGCATGTTGGTTTTGTTGCATTGCATTCTTGTATATCCCAAAGAGGCCGAGACGCGCTTGTGGCGGCTGTTGCCCCACACTTCCTTTCCTCCCTCTTTGCATGTTTGTGTTCTATGTGTGTATCTTACTCATGTTTGCTTCTTCCTTCTTTTGTCTTCTTTTGCCATGTTCCCATTAGGATTTCCAATTCTTCTTGTTCAAGTTGGATTGTGATAGACCTTAAGTTCAAACCATGCATGATAACATTAGGTAGTTCCCTTTTGCATCCCAACTTTAAGTCCACTTTGCATGATAACTTTTAGGATTGATTTAGTCTTCCATTAGTGGTCCTTTCTTCTCTTCTCATCTTCATACAATCTTAACACACTTAATAAAGATAATAGATGTTGTACCATGAGCCTTGTACTTGGGAAATTGTGATTGAGCGGTTACCTCTCAATTGCCTAGAGTGTTTAGTATACGTCCTTAGGACGATATGCGACACATTCGATCCTAGGTTTTAGACTTTAGTACAACATATATTATGAACAGTCAAATTCAAAACACTTCTTCTCTAAAAAACACAAAAACACTTCAAACCTTTTTCATCCTTCGGGATCTTAATCAGGAAAATCTTTTCAGATAAAAGAGTGTCGTTAACTTTTAGTTCTACCGCAAATGGTAACGCCTAAGTCTCCAATGGTCGAGCCGCATACACCAACTGCTAGAACTACTTGTTAATCCTACTCGGGCCTAAAAACTTTTGAACCAACTTGTGGTCTTTTTAGCCCGAACTACGTTTGCTCTGATCTTTCATACCAGATGAAAGTACGTAGGCACAAGACTCGACGT